GGCTCTTCGCCACCCTCTCCTCTACCCCCTTGTGCAGACGAAGAAAACACGCCATAAGCATAAACTTTTGGTGCTCCGCGCGGATTTCTTGGATCTGCGCTGGACCCCCCTCCCTGGCGCGCGCGCCGGAGGCGCCGCCGGGGGGCCCAGCGCTGATCCAAGAAATCCGCGCGGAGCGCCACAAGTTTATGTTTATGGCGTGTTTTCTTCGTCGATTTTCATCGTGGGGCGCCAACCGCATCTGCACCTGGTCGCGCCGTCAGCGCAGAAGAGAGCGCCGCGTGAGCGGCGAAGAGGGGTCCCGCACGCCACGGCGCGGCGACCCCGCACGAAGGGCTGCCGTCGGAAACCTGGAACCCTTGGGGGGGACCATGTGCCCCGAAGGTGGCCCCAGAGCCCCAAAGATCAAAAGATCATGCTCCCCACTGTTTTCGAACCGGCTTGGGGAAATGGCCCGACACGGTGCAATAACTTTGGCCCAACTAAATTCTACATGGCCCAGCTAAATACTGTACCTAAATCATCAGCGGTCTTCCGCCAGCCTTCCGCCAACCGCCTTCCGCCACCTTCCACTGCACTTCAGTAGCCTTCTGCTGCGCGCATTATTCTCCAATCAGGGCTTGGCTCTGTAGGGGTCCTAGCGGATTCATATGGTTAGGTTAGGTTTGCCGCCGATTTTCGCTGCACGCCCGGGTGCCCGGGTGTGCCCGGGGGTGCCTGGGGGTGCCCGGGGGTGCTCTATAGCCCAATAGCCTAATAGCCCTACAACTCTATAGCTCTATAGCACTATAGCCCTATAGCTCAATAGCCCTATAGCCCCCTAGCCCTATAGCCCTGATTGGGGCTTTTCTCTGGTATCATTAGCAGGCACTGCACGCTGCAAGCTATACGAAGTTATGCAAATGCCTATACGACCACCCGTGGGATGAGAAGGAGGTTAGGGGGAGAGACAACAACGTCTCACTCAATCGATCCCGCAATCGATCTCACTCGATCGATCTCACGTTCGATCTTATGTACAATCGATTTCACTATCGACTCACTTATCGCTCTCACTGGATAGATCTTCCTATCGATGTCACTATCGATCTCAATCCCCCCTCACTATCGATCTCACAGCCGATCTCATTATCCATCTCACTATTGATCTCACTTTCGACATCACAATCGATCTCACAATCGACCTCTATATCGGTCCCACTATCGACCTCACCATCGATCTCACTACGTGACACCGACGGGACACCCGCGGAACACCCCTGGCCACCGCAGGACATCCTAGGGGGGGCGGTCTTTTGGCCTGGCGGCGCTCAAGCCAGAAGGAGGGCTCACTCCTTTCGCCCGCCCACGCAGCCTCGCCTCGCCCTCACGCACGATACGAGCACGAAACTGACACCGCTTTCGCGGGGGTGGGGGCTCTCCGTCTCACTGCGGCCTTACCCCCTCGCCTGTGACGTCTTCTGGTGCTCTCGTGCGGACACGTGTCGAGGAGGCAGTGGGGTGGCGGCGGATCGCCGGAGGCGTCCTCGACCCATACGGAGAGAGGCCACCTGGCTCCGCCTCCGCTACGGTGGCCAGCGGGTTCCACAGCCCCATGAGCACGCCGCCCGTGAGGCAGACCGCCAGCTTCCTGCGCAGCGACGGCCCTCCGCCCGGCGCCGCGGCGGCCTCTGCGGGGGCCGCCCGCTCTGCAGCGCAGGCGTTGCCAGTGAGCGGCGGGTGGTGCAGAAGGGAAGCTGGCACAAACGTCAACTTTCGGAGGTCTGCGCGGATCTCTTAGATCTGCTTGGCGGCGCGCAGAGGGGGGGTAGGGGTAGAGGGGAAGGCTTCGTGGAAGGGGGCTGCTTCTTAGAAGGACCTGGCCTTACGTGTGCAGAGGAGGCCCGAGCCTTTTAAGGCCCGCGCCTTTTAAGAAGCAGGGGTGCTTCTAAGAAGTCTTCTCCCCTCCCCCTGCCCCCCTCTGCGCGTGGCCGATCTGCGCTGGGCCCCTGGTGGCGCCTCCAACGCCGCCCCCTGGCGCACTCCACACGCCAGCGAGGTGGGGAGCTCCGACAGCTTACGCTTGTGCGGGTTTTCCTTCTCCGATGGTGGCCGCACTCCAGCTGCCTGTCCTTGAGGCGCTGCACCCAGGACGCCATGCAGACGGCGGCAAAGGCGACCACGACCCCGAGCAGCAGCAGGCCGAAATCGCCCCTCGGCTGCACCGCGTAGGTCACGAGGGTCCCGAGCACCAGGGCGGTGCCTATGGTGATCGGGAACGCCAGCGACAGGCCCAACATGGCTATCCCCTTGCAGAGGCACAAGTTCGCGACGTTGAAGATCAGGCCCGCCGCCAGCGCCGTCAGGTACCGCTCGGCGCTCTTCTGGCGCCAGTCGTCCAGGTAGTTGCCGGCGCCGTGCCCCCCGTTGGATGGCACCGAGCCGAAGCACAGCCCCGCGGCGACGGAGCTGGCGAAGACGGCGGCCGACCAGTTCCAGTAGAACAGCTCGAAGCGGACCAGCCCCTCGCTGAACTTGAGCGTGTTACTCCAGCTGCCCCAGCAGCACACGGGACCCGTGGTCGGTGGGTCAACCAACCAACAATCCTAGGGGGATGGACAGAGCCTCTGGAGCGGATGTCGAGCCGACTACGTCTTGAAAACTCGGGTCCTTCCGGACTGGCAAGCTGGCGGGGATCAAATGCGACTGATCAAGCCGTCCTGGAGGTCCAAAACTCCCGGAAGGCGCCATTTCCCCCCCCGCTGGATGAGTCCCGGAGGATCGAAAGCCTCCATCTCGGAGGTCGAGCGTCTGCTGTGGAGGAGAGCTCCACACTGTCTGAAAAAGGCTTCCAGGATGGAGGTCGAACCATGACCTCGAGGGTTTTCCGTCCTCTGGGCTTGCTCCTGCAGGGTAGAGGCTCGACCACCAGAATGCAGCTATTCGATCTCCTGGGGGGCGGGGGACCAGTCGCCACCGCGCAGACCCTCCAGGGGCCAAAATGACAGCCCCAATCGGCGGAATAGCATCTAAACAGGGGCCGCCGCGGGGCCCCTCGGCCGATGCCCAGATCGCGAGGGCGAGCGGGGGGGAACCAAGTGCGACCGAGCAGACCCTCGCCGTCGACCACCGCTGCCTCCGCCGTCGCCGTCGCCGCCGACGTTGCCACCACCGCCATCGCCATCGCCGCCGTCGCCGTCGACACCCTCGTCGTCGCTGGCGTCGCCGCCTTCGCCGGCGCCGTCGTTGCCACCAACGTCGCCGCCGACGTCGCCGCAGTCCAAGGGCCAGGGCGCAACCGGTCTCTCTGACAGCGCGGGCCGCCTCGGGGCCGTGCTGGCCGCGGCGGAGGCTGGCGCCCGGACCTCCTGGAGGTCAAACCAACGGAAAACAGGAACGCGTGCGAACGCCTCGGCCCTCCTCCCCCGCGGTTTTGGGGTGGGGGCCCGCTCTCCCGTCGAGAACAAAAAAGATCAGGGAACGTTTGACCGTGTTCGGGCTCTGGGGGCCCTCGCAAGGGAATTCGAGAACGTCAAAAATTAACCCAGGATGACAAACGGGTCCCGGGAAGGGGTCGTCCAGACCTCTTGGGGTCGACGTTTTGAAAAAATCATAACGTCGGAGCTCTGGGTCGTTCTTTCTGGGCGGTCTGCCTTCTCCGGCTCAACAAAGTCAGAGGGCGCTCTGAGGCCCTGGGGCACCCTCTGGGAGCGTCCGCGTGGAGTGGAACCTGTGTCTGGAGCGGGGGAGAAACGGCTCCCCGAGACCTCCGCTGAGGCGCCGAGAGCGGAGGCCGAGACCTCCGCTGAGGAGCACAGCGGGCCTCCTGGGTTGGCCAATCGACCGCGGCAGCTGGAGAAGAGCGCCAGCAAGAGCGCCCCCGCGTGCGACGACGGCACCAACATCGCCGCCGGCGCGAAGCGTCGTGGCGCGCGCGCGTGGGGGCCGCTGCGCCCAGGCTCTCCCGCCTCGGCCTCGGGCCGACGGCGACTCCACCGAGCACCGACGGTCCTGCTGTGCCTCAGGAGCGCACGGGGGACGGAGGAGGGCAGGTGGGGGGGAGGGGGGCCGCGGTCTCCCGGACCGGTGCTGCGCAGCTGTCGGCGCGCGCAGAAAGGTCGGGGTGGGGCGAGGGGGCGGGGGGCGGGCGGCCTTTCAAGACAGCACGGTGCCTCTCAGAAAGGGATCGGGGGCCTCTAAGAAGCCTGCGTGGCTTGGAGCGCAGAAAAGGCTCCTCAGAAGCCCCTGTGCCCGCTTGGGGGCACTTTCTCGCGCCTCACCCCCTCGCGCGTGCCGCCAAGAACGCCACTGGGTGGGGGCGCGGGTGTCCGTTCCCGATGGCTTCCCAGTAGCTCAAGGCACAGCCCCAAACCTTTCAAGCTTGGTGGGGGAAACCCGCTGCAACACTCAGCGTTGGTCCCGAACGCTTGCTGGTCCCCAGCGCTCCTCCAGGGCAAACCTTGTCGCAGAGGTCAGAACGTGAATGGGAATGAAATGCCGCCTGTCGGTCGCTCTCTCTGACGTAAACTTCCGACTTCGCGTCTCTCTTCATGTCGCGGGCCACTGAACTCTCGGCCTTTCTCCCCCGAACAAACTTTTCACGCCATGAGAAAAATTTATCCCAGGGTCCAGAACCGGCGGCCCTTGGAGGGTCAAGCCCACAAGGGGGGTTGTTTCCCATCCAGAAGCCTTGTCGTGACGGCCCCAAGGCCGGGGAGCGGCCTTCGGAAAAATTCGCTGTTGCGATTCTGCCCAGGACGCCAGAGACCTGGGCAGCCCCCAACGTGAAAGGGGCAGGTTCACAGAAGGAGGCGGGGCCTCTCAGAACCCCTCGTGCCTTCTGAGAAGCCGCAGATACCTTCGGAGAGTGCGAAGAAAACTTCCCAGAAGGCTGGAGGCCTTCTGAGCCTTCTTGGGCGCGCCGCCGATCAGCGTCTCGACCGTATTTCTGCAGTCTTCGGTCCGCATCGGAGGCGCTCCTGCTCTGGATGGGCACCTTCAGGCCGGCGTCGGTGCTCTCCCTGCGGGGGGTGCGGTGCCGCGGCGGTGCCTCCCCGCCCAGGAGACCGGAAACACCAGAAGATCGTCGGTCCTCCTCACTTTCGGAGGGGAAACACCTCACAGAATGGAAGACAAATCCGTGCAGAATGGAAGTGGAACGTCCCGTGTGGAGGTTCTCGATCCTGTGGGTGTCTGTCCCGACGCCGACGATGCCAACGCCAACGCCGCAACGCCGCGACGCCGCGACGCCGACGCCGACGCCGACGATGGCGGCGGGTACGGCAGCGGCGACGGCACTGGCGGCGACGACGGCGTCCTCCTGCTGCTGCTGCTGCTCTTGCTGCTACTCGTGCCGCTGCTCCTATGTCTCCTCGTCCTCCTCCGTTTCCTCTTCATCCTCCTTCCTTACCTCCTTCCCTCCTGTTCCTTCTTGCGTTGGGCGGAAATTGAGTGCTATGCTTGTAGCGTCCTGGCTGGGAAAAAAAACACTGCTGCAGGTCAGTGCGGTAATCCGTCAGGCAAATAGAACTGCTTAAACATAGAAGTACCCGTGAGGGCGCAAGAAATAACTAATCGAGCAGAGAATGAGAGAGAAAGTGTGATATATATAGAGAGAGATAGAAAGAGAGAGAGAGAGAGAGAAAGAGAGAGAGAGAGAGAGACAAAAAAGAGGGGAACCACCAACACCATAAGAGTACGATGATATGACACACGGATGGAGTACATCGAACGGGGGAGGTCGAAATACGAGTGCAATGAAAAACACCATGATGGTAAAACTGCTCGCTTCTTAGGTGTTCCCAGTGGTGTGTCTCACCAGCTGGATAAACTAGGCGGTCATTGTAGAGCACGAGCAGACGTAATGATGTGAAGTCCAATCCCCGATTGCCAGCAGTAGGCCTGCTCTTCGCCTTCTCGTTAGAGGGGCTCACCTCCACCGTGTTTGGTATCCAGATTTTTGTTGGGGGGGCGTGAAGTCGGGTGTGAGAGTAGGTGCGCAGTGCTCTACCCACTGCTTGGGGAGCACCGCAATAGATTTTGTTAGTGACGGTGAAGCCAGCCTGACCAGTCCAGCCTGCATAGTATCCAGCCGCCCACCGGTTGGATCGTTGGCGCTATAGCTTTCTGAGATGAAGGCAAACATATGGTCGTTGAAATCACGCATGCAGCGGGGCCAACTCTCTGTGTCCAGGGGGGGGCGATCTAGCAACCTCCCTCCTTCCCATGCTCCACTCCCCACCCTTTAGTCCACGCAGGCAGTCTTTAGGTGTACCGTAGAAGCTAGTGCGAGCACGGTTGCAGGTAGAAGTGGAACGAGCATGTGCATATTTCAATCTAGACCTTGGCACAAAGAAGCTATGCCCTGTCGGCGCAATCTTGCGAAAATGTATCCCATCGCCACTCCGTGACCTCAGCCTGCCAAGCCCCCAAAGTTAAGTAAAGCTCTAAGGAGGGAGCCAGTAAGTGCGCAACAGTGGCATCAAGCATGGAGGATAAATGGGACGGATGTCATGGTTCCCCCCCATGGTAGGGGGTGCCCTTGAGCAGAGGCCCGCACAGCCTAGGGACGGAGGTGAACGCGTGGACCGAAACAGTCGTGAGCGCAAAACGGAGGTGCAAGCACTGTGAGGGGTCAGGGGTGGCCAGTGTCGCACTAGGAGTAGCAGGTGTCGGCGGCGAGAGGTCTTGGACATAAGATGTATCTGCCATGTGCCTCTAGTGCAAGGAAAGCCATTGAAATGCACACCGTGGCTATTGTCGATGACGAGATGTCGGCGACTGTTGTAGTCTCAATGCCTATCCCAAATATGGTGCGCGCCTTGGTCGAAGCGTCGGAAGTTTGGGCTTGGGAGTCGGTGGTGCTTTTAGTGGTGGTGCGCTCTCCAAGGGCCGGTTGCGAGTCGTTTGGTCCTGGGCAGTACGTCAGCTTACGTCTTCTAGGTACTCCGCGTACTGCTGCTGGCGTGCTCGGATTGTCTTCAAGTAGTCATTCAGTAGTGGGTCCTCGATTTCGCTGATGTTGAACGTGCTGACTGTGCTGTCGCCTGTGGGCATTAGAGTAGAACCCGTTTGGCCATCTTACAATGTCGGTGGTGTCCTTGGTGAAGTATGCTCTGGTGGTTGCCTGAGTCTGTGGTGCGCGGTGTTTGGGTGGAGTATCGATGGGCCAAAAGAACTGAGTCGTCGACGTTCCTACTGGTGGACAGACCGTAGGTATCTTCAGCTGAGGTGTTGGTGGGTGCTGTGGAATGTGGCTCATTGTGCGGTTTGGGACGAAATCTCGCCAGCCCTCTGGGCGACAGGCGGTCAAACGATGTTTCTTTCCTCTTCTACAACCCTTCTTTCCCTTCGGGGAGGGGTTCACCTCTACCCCTACCCCCTCACCTGGACCTGCCCAGGGGGGTTCTCGAGCGGTCAGGGCGTCCAAGATCACCTGAGATGGCTCCAAAAGGGCCTCAGAGAGCCCAAGATGGCCTCCAAGATCGCTCAGGATAGCCCAACATAGCTCAAGATAGCTAACAACATGCCTCCAAGAAGCCCCCAGAAGGCCACAAAACGGATCCAAGTGCTTATGGAGACCTCTCAGGACCCCCCCTGAGAAGCCAAACTCTTTTAAAAACCTATGGGACACCAATGACTTTGGCCTCATCGCCTTTTCGCTTCCGATGAGCTTTAAGGCCCCAAGATGGTCCCAAGATGACCCAGGAGAGCTCCAAGAAGGGCCCAAGAGGCCCCCAGAGACCCAAGAGAGCGCTCACGTAAGAGCTTGAAGTCGAAGCGCTGCATATGCTGTGTGCAGAGGGCTGTGCTAACGTCTCGTCAATGCCGCTGATCCTGTTCAATACCGACGCTGTCCTCGGTAGGTCCACTGCCCAGTCTCCGTTCAGTAAGGTCTGGATGCACGGCATCAGTCAGCGCACGGTCTTGGTCAATCCGAGCATCACACAATTCCAAGTAATTTGTATGCATGATTAGAGTCATGGCGTATCTGCCCTTCCATATTTCCTGACGGGCCGCACGAGCGAAGGCATCCTCGAAGGTGAGCTGCTTGCCGAACCTTGAGGCGGTAATTGGAGTCGAAGGCTCCTCGACGGTATAGCTCTGGTCGTGCGCAGCACGGGACAAAGCGTGGGTCACCAAATCGTCAGTAGACGGAGAAGGCGGAGAGAGTCCGACGCGGTCTTGCGCTGCGCACACAAGCTCAGCAAGTTGCACTTTGAGAACACAAAGCCGCTCGCGCAACTCCTCCAATCCACCAAGCAAATGTGGCAAGCCAGGTAACGCCGTAGCCGGCCGACGTATCCAAACTCGACGCGGATGCTGGCGAGCACACTGTCCATCTACATCGCGGTGAAATGGCGGACACAATTGCGGGCACCGTGTAACTTGTTGACCTTGCCGCGAGTTCCTGGGCGTGAGCAACTCTCTGTTGGTGGGCACGGCCTGGTTGAGTGTGTTGTAGTGTCGGGCATTGCTCGTCGCCAAAATATCCAAAGCGTTCTAGTGAAACTCAATAAGGATGGCGAGCGGAGGGCTCTCATTTTTCCCAACCATCCTGTGGTGTTGGGTTTTCGTTATGAAGAGACAGCGCCCCGCGTTCCTTCCTTCCTTCCTTCTTTCTTTCCTTCCTTCCTTCCTTCCTTCCTTCCTTCTTTCCTCTTCATCCTCCTCCCTCTTCCCTGAATATCCCCGACCACTGCAGCGTTTCGTGGCCCCATAGGGAGCTTCGCGGAAGGTCCCAGTCGCGGAATTCGCATGCGCTTCCTGCGCCCAGGTGCAGCGTTTCGTGCCCCCATAAGGAGCTCCACCGAAGATCCCAGTGGCAGAATTCGCATGCGGGTTCTGCGCCCAGCGCAGCGCTTCGTGGCCCCGTAGGGAGCTCCACCGATTGTCCCAATGACGGAACTCGCATGCGGTTTCTGCGCCCAGCGCGGCGTTTCGTGGCCCCATAGGGAGCTCCAGCGAAGGTCTAAGTGACGGAACTAGCATGCGGTTCCTGCGCCCGACACAGCGCTTCGTGGCCCCAGAGGGAGCTCCACCCAAGGTCCCAGTGGCGGAACTCGCATGCTCCTCCTGCCGGTCCGCAGCCAGACCTTCTATCGGTCCTGTAAACTTTCGCCCTGGGTCGTCGGCTGTCCGGCGCGCCGCTCCCTCGGCCGACATCGCCCAGGCGTGATCCTGGATTGCGGCCGCCACGAGGTCGGGAACGGCAATGAGGAGGACGACGACTGGTGGCTGGAGCTCTACGCGCTACTCTCGTGCGCTACGCGCCACAAAAACCTCCCGCTCATGCGGGCGCCGCAAATCGAGTTTTTCCTTGCAGGGCCGCCGGAGGGCTTGCGGAAGCAGCTGGGGCAGTTTGCGGCGCGCGCGAAGCGGTGCCGGAGGGAGGTGACGGCCCTCACCAGGGAGCTGGGCTTCAATGGTTTATCCGCGAGGCCTGACCAGGGGAGCGGCCCGACCGAGCCTCGCCTTGTCTCGACGGTCTGATCATGTGGCCCCGCGCGCGGACGACCCGCGCGCGTCGCTGGGACCCTCTCGGAACGACCAGCGCGCGTCCTTGGAACTCCATGCTGCGCTCAGCCCAGCGCCTCGCTCGCCTGTCGTCGCTCTGCCCAGCATCTAAAGCCTTGCCCGCAATCGGCCAGACAGCTAGCTCTCTTTGCTCCGCGCAGCGGACGACCCGCGCGCGTCGCTGGGACCTCTTCGGGGCGACCGGCGCACGTCGCGGGGACTCCGCGCTGCGCTGCGCCCGCAGCCTTGGGCTTTGGAGTGCGCGGGCGCAGAGGGAGAATTACCTTGCGACGTACCCAACCCTTTCTATACATGTGGTGGTTACATTCGGGACCACTCAGTGCTGACGGGCATGCCGAAAAAACCCGCAGTGCAGAAGAAGAGCACCCATCAGTGAACTCAGAAGAGCGCAGCAAGCAGTGCAGCGGCAACGCGTAAGACGTACCTCTGCTGGGCCTCCCAGGAGCCCACGAAAGTGGCGACGATTGCGCAGATCGCAGCCCCG